AAGGGCGAGTCAAATGAAAGTGAGCCAATGCGAATATATGACAAACAGAGTACTTTATTTAAAGGTAGTCTCCATGAACATTGAGACATTTATCCCATTGACAAATGAGCCGCGTGATCCCCGTCTCATAAAACTCCTTGGGCTGTCGATTCAAAAAGTCTGTAACCGACTCCTTCACGGCGTCGTCCGACACGAATCTGGTACCCTTGAGATGTTTTTTCAGTTTCCCGAAAACGTGAAAGTCGCATGGCGACAAATCTGGGCTGTATGGAGGATGTTGCAGCGTGTCCCACTTGAACTTTGCCAGTTGTGTCATAACCACATCAGCGACGTGGGGACGAGCATTGTCATGTAGCAAGATCACACCATTTGTCAATCTTCCAGGTCGTTTGTTCTTGATTGCGACACGCAGCCGATCCAGCGTTGCACAATATCGTGAACTATTGATAGTCTCTCCACTTTTAGCAAATTCAATCAGTAATGGCCCCTGACGATCGAAAAAAAAAAGTCAATAGCACCTTTCCCGAGGAAATGACAGCCTTTGCTTTCTTCGGGGGTGGTGAATTCAAATGTTTCCACTGTAAGCTTTGCTGCCGTGTTTCAGGTTCGTAGTGGTGGCACCATGATTCGTCTCCGGTCACAATTGCAGACAAGAAGTTATCACCCTCATTGTGATACCGGATGAGATGAGTCAAAGCAGCACCGAACATTTCCGTCTTCTGGCGGTTGTTCAAAATCTTGGGCATCCATTGAGCACACAAAAGCCGATCATCGAGATGATCATGAATTATGGTGTGAACCGAACCGTGACTGATGTTCACACGCTCTACCAGTTCATCGATGCTTATCCTCCATTCTTGTCTAATCAGCTCATCAACCTGTGCAATTGTGTCGGGGGTGATTGCAAGGTGGCTTTGGCCTGGTCTTGGATCGTCTCTGAACCGTTTGCTCCAACGCTTCACAGTGGCCAATGCGATGCAATGTTCACCGTACACAGCAGTCATACGGCGACTAATTTCATGTTGGGAAACACCTTCAGCTGTCAAAAACCTGACCACACCACGCTGTTCCTCTTTTGGAGCGTCCATTATGTCACGCTACCGTCTTCAACCCAGTGTAAGAGCGCCTTAAAGAACTTTAACCCTCACACTTTTGTAAATGAAGGCTGTCTCTGTGCTACGCGAATGCGTCGCAGATGATGGGCCGAACCATTCTTGCTGAGGAGGGGTTGGCTCACTTTCATTTGACTCACCCTTATATATAAATAAGACTCTGATGCTCTCATCCAGTCTTGAAGAAATCACAGAGCAGTAAAAAAATATTGTATTTCTACTATGCAATATTATGTACAGCTTCCAGATTTCCCAGTTCAAAAGAAAATATTGTATTTATATATATATATATATATAAATAAGACTCTGATGCTCTCATACAGTCTTGAAATCACAGAGCAGTAAAAATATATTGTATTTCTACTATGCAATATTATGTACAGCTTCCAGATTTCACAGTTCAAAAGAAAATGTATCTCTTCTACATAATATTAATACAGTCTTGAGCTATCACCAAAGAGAAAAATTATGTTTTCTATAAAAGAATTGTAAAATTAACAAAACATTAGTCTAAATCCTGTGCACATGTTAGTGATCATAATACACTTTTCTGAAGATCATCATTTCATACAATAGATTTTACAAATTATTAATTGTTTATTAATGTTGTTTAACTAATGTGGGTTAACTAATGTGTTTAACTAATGTTTAAAAATTATTTAATTAATGTGGGTTCCAATAATGGATCAGAAGGCTATGAGAGCCCAGTTGTAATTTTACTGGGTTTTCAGAATTGAGAAACATGTGGGTGTCCTAGGGATTTTATTTCAGTTACAGGCGCTGATTGTAATGACCACAGGTATCACTCCATTAATAAAAAACTGCATCTGTCTTCAAATATTTTATCTGGATGTTACAGTTTCATTGATGGAGAATCGTTTTTAAGTGTGGCATTAAACTACCTATAACCACTTTCCTTGATTTTTGTAAAATATACAATTTTATTTAATTTTAATAAAAAAATAGGAAGTTTTTTCCAGTAAAGCAAATTAATTTAAACTGATATCTTTCATTTTGTATCACTGATGTATATAAAATGTAAATAATCATATCACTTATTGTGAATAAAAAAATTTAATAACTTTCTTTATATAATCTCGTAAATTAGTGTATATCACTTTTTAAAATATGTAATTCATTTTATAATGCATATTTCCTATATTCAAAAGGCATCCTAATTCATTTATAAATTAACAAATAATTACTTAAAATCACACTTTAATGCTTTTAGATTACATTGATTTTAAAAACAGTCATCTTCAATTAATATACTTCAAAAATATTAAGTTAAATGTATTTTGTACAATAGATCTCACTTTATTGGTATTTTAAATTCCATCTATGTGTAAGTAGATCAGAATTATTGGAAAGTAATCAGTATATTAGAATTGAGGTAATTTTTAAATTATATAAAATAAAAATGCTGATTGTAATGACCATAGGCATCACATAAACACACATGCATCCATAAATGATGGAGTTAGAATTTATAATACATTTCGTACATAATTTATGAGATGTGACACTTAAGCATCACAAAATGTTCAAAAATGAATACCATCCCTAATAAATTCAATGATTAAGTAAATGGAAATTGTACCTGGGAACAAAAAAATATATAGCTTGAACAACAGTAACCTTTGAAGAAAAAAGTATTCTTTTTGTTATTTAAAAAAAAAAAAAAAAAAAAAAAAAAAAATTTGACTGCCAGTAACATTACTGAAAATGTCTTAAAATAACTGTAAAGGTGCAACATATCCAACATAATCATTGTTGTAATCTATTAGCAGTATCTTAGAAATTATAGTATGCATTTAAAAGTTTTAATGAAAAATAGAGAAAATCAGCAATATTGGATTCCAGGCATCTAGAGACCATTGTGTTAAAATCATAATTTTCATCTCTTAAAATGGCTTTTTAAATTTGAAGAACTTTTCAGACTTTGGTGCTTCACTGATTTAGGTATATTTAATATTTTATTTTGGTGTGTGTATTTGTGATCTTGTGATTGTGATATATAGAATATTAAAAAAAGTAGTTATTGGTTTTCTCAAATATGCTCCTAGATATACACTTCCAGTTTTTCATGAAATAAGGCTGAGAATTAAATAAAAGTAGTTTAATGCTGAATGGAAGGTTTCTGTAAATACAACATCTTAAGTTCTTGCAATAGATTAAAACCAATTCCAGTTGGTGAAGAATTCTTTGCTTTCTTCATAAGTTCAGTACATAAATTTCTACTGCCTTCTATGCAAAATTCATCAAGATATTCACATTTACTAATTTTCATCACTTTACCTTGACTGAAATTAAAAATTTTTCAATTGAATGTAGGGAAAGAACTATGAAACAAAAGTTTCAGTGCAAATTTTTTTCATTTTTGGTAAAGCAGTATTCATTATTAACCTTTTGAAGAGGGGATGGCCATTATAGTGGCCATAGAGTCCTTTCTTTGAAAAGATGGGGTTGTCCACTTTAGTGGCCATGTCTTTTTCCCCCATTTTCCAGGCTGTAAAGTGGGGTGAAATGTCAAATTTGACGTCCCTAGGGTTTTAACCACTTATCTCTTTCAAAGGTCTTCCTTTTGCAACATAGATGCACCCCTCTGAGAATCTGTTAAAGTCACACAAGAATCTTTGTTGCAAATAGGAGGTGATTTCTTAAAGGGGGGAAAGCATTCGGTTCAAGTTTTCCCGTCCTTTGGTAGCTTTTATTGCTACCAAAGCCCCGGCCTCAAAAGGTTAAATTGGGGGGAAAAATAAAACCTAGCTCCATTTATTTCTGAAAATGTTGCATGTAATTACTGAGATTATGTGTTCAGTTTATTAAAGCAAAATGAATATTTCATTAAATGTTTTGCTTCATAGTGATCATATAAAAAATTTAAATTTTTATTAATAAATCCTCAATACTGAATTTGTTTTTGTACATCCCTACCTTATTTTGTGAAACTGTGTAATTCAAAACAATGTTTATTTTCAGTATTTAAAGATTAAAGCTGCATTTGCCTATTTCTAACAACCATCACAAATTTTTAGTGCATAACTTTAAACTGATTATTCTGATTTGATTTTCCTCTGCCATTAGCCTAGGTGATGCACATATGTGCCTAAAATGTATATAGACAAAACTCAACATGTATGTGCACACACGTGTTGTCATGCATAAAAATCCATAAATAAAGTATAATTGAATAGTAGATCGAAATATTTGAGCAGAGCCAGTGCCTGAGTGCATGCAACCATTGCGGTTGCTCTTGTCAGCAAAAGTTTTAAAATTTAGGTGGAACTGGGTGACAGAATTTTGAATTCATGGAGATTGCACTGGGTGAGAAAAGTGTATTTATGTCATTGATTTACCATATTTTGTTGATTCTAAGGTGCACTTGAGCATAGAGAAGTCATTTGTTATTATTTTAAGTTGTTGGAAAAGAATGTACAAAAACTTGAGTAATTTTTAAATGTTACTTAAAGTATTTTACCATGTGATTTACAGATTAATTCCTTTCTTACAAATCTCATGAAAAACTTGGTGGTACTTAGAACTGCTGATTTTTCCAAATTGCTAATTATTTCAATTTTTCTACATCACTAATTTAAACAAATGTTTTTCTTTAAATTGAAGTTGACTATTAAAAAAATATTTACTAAATGTGCATTAGCATTTTATTTCATGTATTTTATATGCATGAAAGTGAAGTCATTTTTTTCGTTTGGTGGTTATGAAATTAAACATCTTAGAATTGAGGAAATATGGTATTAACTACTCTTGTTGTAAATAATGTGAGAATTTTTGTGTGCTAACTACTAGTTAATTATAAATGTTAATATTATATTATTTTTATTTGTTTATTGCTATCCAAATATATTTTTATTACTTTTTATGTAGAGTACGTATGGAATAAACTGTAGAAACCGTTGTCATTGTCACACTGATGAAATTTGTGACTTCAGAAGTGGAACTTGTTTGTGTCCATATGGAAAAGCTGAAGGGCATTGTAAAAAGGGTTGTCCTAAAGGTCAGTTGTGTTAATATATTTTGGATGAACTTATTTTATTTTAAACTAATATTGTGTGTGAATATTTGTAAAAGAGGGAAAGTAGTATTATATGAGAGAAAGTAGTATTATATGTCTCTTCAAATTACTGACACAGAACTAGTATAGAGAAGTAATTTATTTTAAGCATTAAATGGCATTAAAATAACATGAGCATAGAAAAGTCATTTGTTATTATTTTAAGTTGTTGGAAAAGAATGTACAAAAACTTGAGTAATTTTTAAATTTTACTTAAAGTATTTTGCCATGTGATTTATAGATTAATTTTTGGTAATATAGAGCTGTACAGAGAAAAGATGAGTTTTATTGTAACATGTTAATGTAATCTACAACTTAACTCTCATTTCACTGTTTAAAATCGTATGGGATTTTGAAGTTGATTGTCAATTACATCTGATCTTACTGTGAAAATATTTCTACAAAATTTAGATTGTGCCTGTTAGAAATGTAATGGAAAAATTAGCTTAGTAGCACATTTTCAATACCACATAAGATACAGGATTATTGTACTTCCACAAGAAAGCTTCATACTTAAAAGTAACCATCTTGGTGCAGTCTGGGAATTTTTTATAGATGAAAAGCTAAAAATTACTTGTCAGGGATAAATTAGTGATTTTTGTGACATTTAAAACCATTTCCAAACCTTTAATTGTAAGTTGGCTAACATTATCAACATATCAAAAGAAATTCTTTAAATAATGATTATGAAATACATCTAAGAAAATAAAAATCTTAAATTTTTTTGTGAAATTCTTCCCCAATTTCTCCTGTCCATGTACACAGCAATCTGTTTTTTTTGGGGGGGGGAATCAAAGACTTGCTCCCATGTGGCACTGTGTACCAGCTATCTACCAAACACATTTCATTATTGTTCTCTTTAGCAATTTTGTTGCAAAATAATATATTGCTGCAGATATTTTAACACAGTTTCTTCCATTGCTAGAAGACTTCGCAAGTGATATCTCGGAATTTTGAATTTATCTCAGAATTGATTTGAAGTGAAAGATACCATTATTTGTCTCTAAAAACCTCTGGAACTTGGAATATAACAAAAAGAGCACATATGAAAATGGTGTCATTGCTTGACTGAAGGATTGTTATGACCATGGTAGCCTGATGAATGTATATCTGCATGATCACCAGAATTTGGCACATTCTGAAAATTTGATGACTTTTAGTAAGGTTGTTGCAATAAGTACCAGCATTGCACTTATTTAGCTATGTCATTGACCCAAAGAAACTTCTGACATGGATAATATTTTATTATAGATTAGTTTCTCTAAAACTTAAAACATTTGAATTTTTGGTACTTACGTATTATCGCAACCAGGTTGGCGCGGTTTGTAAGTTTGAGTAAAAAAAGTATGAATAGAAAGAAAATGTACATTTATTAATTACAGATAATTTTTAATACAGTTTTTTATATTATTTTGTTTTAAAATATAAAATAGCAATTAAACCCTTCTGGTTTCGAATTTGAATAAGTTGCAGAATTATTTTTTCGGCGGAAATCTTTTGGCTATTGCTTTTAGCACTGATTGAAAACCGTCTTCGCCATTAACAGCTTGAGCTTGCCGCCATATAAATTCGATAAGGTATGAGTCAAGATGATGACGGGCTGTTCTTCTCTGTTTTTTGTTGCGCCATTTGGCTGAGATCCACATGCACTCTACATGTTGTGTGTGAACGCCCGTGTTGGGATCCACAAAGTTATATTTGTGATTAACAGTTCCATGCAGAAATCCAGCATTTCAAACTCACTTGTATTGTATCCTTTCCTGCAATCCGAATAAATGATGCTTCCTTCCTTGATATTTTCGCAAATTTTTTCCATGAGAGTAACGGCGCTTCTGTTAAGTACAGTAACCAAAAAAGTCTCTTTCTTTTCTCGGCAAATTCCGCCGAAAACCCATTGCTGTGGTAGTACACGCCCAGTGTTATTTTTTCTTTTTACAAATAAACTTTTGTCTAAACACGTAGGGTTGCCTTAAGTAGGGTCGTCAAATTTGCGATTTATGCGAATTTTGGCCTGGTTGCGTTAATACGTAAGTACCGAATTTTCTTTAAATAATAAGTGTACTTTTATTTAATTTTTTTTAACTTAAGTTGGCTATTACAGTTCTTTGACCTAAATAGCATCTTTTAGAAATCTGCATTTAAGAATTTGTGTTTTCAAATAAGATATTTAGTTATTTATTGTGCGATATCTTGGCATGGCTATTTCACCACCCTTTCTGTATGTTTTAAGCAATTTGGCTTCAAAATTAAAATTGTTCAATAGGAAACTAGAATTTTTTTGTTTTCTGAAAATTGTAAGTATTAGAATAATTACAATATTGCTGTTTAACATAATCCTTATTCAATATACCAATTTGATACTTTCATGTTTATCCACTCAACGATGATAAGAATTACAGGGCTGTGTCACCAAAATAGGCAATTCAGAATATAACAAACATGTATTTTAATCTGTCATCTCGTAATGATTGCACATGCATTGTACCAGCTTGTAATTAATTGGATGCTGTTTTGAAATTCCCATAAAGCAAATGATTGAGTTTTATGAAAATGTACTATTGAAGATTCTAGCAAAGTGTTTGAGTAGGAAATTGGTTTAAAAATTGTGAAATATCATTTACAATAACTGTTTTCTGTATTTATTGCCAATCTAAAGAATATAACATCTGGTAATTTTTGTCATTCTTACAGTTCTTATTACCTTGATTGACTCTGAATACAACTACTGATTGATGTAATTATCTGCAAGAAGTATGCATGTCTAGAAAAGACAAATGTAAAAAAATTGGTTTTTCCGAATAAAAGCAATTCTGTGATTTTTAATAAAGTTATAACAGGGTGATGTGTATGTGGAGAGCAGTGCCAAGTTGCTGTATTGCAATGCCAAGAACTCTTTTAAGTTGTGATGCTGAGAATTTTGCCTGATTTTTTTTTTTTTTTTTTAAAGTTAAAATAGGCAAATATGTACATGAAGAGCAGTTTGCTCCGCAGTGCCGAGAATTCTGCAATTCTCTACTTTTTTTTATCTTTCCAAGTTAACCTTTAACTACTATGACTCAAATTGTGGCATAACTACTGTGAGCGGTTTCTCAGACCGCTTCTGCTAAAAACAAAATAAGGTATTGTTTTATTTTTCGTATTTGAATAAATGTTATTTAATTTCATATATTTAACTTTTTCATGAAGATATAAAGCAGTTTTTATATTTAAATCAGTTCATTAAAATAAAATATATACTATGATAATTCCTTCACTTACGTATCTGGATGGAAGAAGTAAATTTTAAAATTCAACTTTTTTATTTTACATTAAAATTTCCGATAAGAATGCTTTAATAAGAATATAGAAAATTAATTTTTATTTTAAAAATTATAATTCGAGTTGCATTTTATACATACTTTTCTACTGCTTTGTAGACACACTGGATTCTTTGCATGCTATATATTTGTAAGCTGTTTTCCCTTTTTTTTTTTGCTCGGTGGACAAATATAGCACTTTCTTTTTTTTATCTAATTTATCGTCTTCAATCGCAATGTTTCCTTCATCAATCATTTATTCCGAAAACTCTTCTTATTGTAAGTTTGAGTTCTTTAGGTAAAAACCATGAAGTTATCCTCCATTTTACATGAGACTTCACCAACTGAATTGCTAATGAAATCTTTGAAATCTTATTGAAATAATACGAATGCATTTATTGCACAGATATCCAAGTTTCTGAAGAATATTGCCATAGGCCAATGTCGGGTTCGACGAGCAGTTGAATAGATTGAATGAAGATTTATATTGTGATTACGAGTTCGAACACCCTTGTTGGGCTCTTGAATAGACCATTTGAATTCATTTTTTCCAATAAAAAAATCTCTTGTAGAAGGAGACTATGGATTTTCATTTTTATCGGCGGATATTTTTGAATTTGTGTCGTGGTCGCTCTCAATAATTTCATCATGGGAACTTTCATCAGAGAACTGTAAGTTAGACCAATTTCAAACTATTATTCAATTTGGTCTTGGATAAGATACATAAAACGTTTCCTGCACGCATTTGAAGCCATTTCAAGAATATTTATAAAAAGCGGAATATGTAACAACAACGAAAAATGAACTTTATCGATCGAAATTTGAATCGTATCTGCTGTGATCGGTCCCACAGACCGCTGAGGGGGGAAAATTAAAAAAAATAAAAGAAGAAATAGAGCTAGCCAAACTCAACTTGGTATGTGACCTTGGACAATTGGTTTAGGAAGGTACTAAGAATGGCAATACCCATTAATTATTCTAAGGGGTGGAAGCATTTAATGGAAAATGTCGTGCGGTCTGAGAGACTGCTCACAGCAGTTAAAGGTTAAAACAGGTCTCTGTGCACATGAATCAAGAAAATAGAAATTTAAATGTTTTATTATGGTGGTTCATTGCTTTTTTAACTTAATAACTTTTTTAACTAAGATAATTTGTTACTGTTTTATGAAATTCTGAATGTTTTTTATTCATGTTTATGTTATTTTTACTGTTTCATTAATTCGTTGCTTTTTGTAATTTTCAGTGGGCAGCCATTTTTTTTTAAATTTCAATGACTACTGTTTTTTACATATTTAGTTCTTTAAAAAATAATTGCTAATGACTGGGCATTTTGCAGGGGTTCTGGATGGATAATATGAAACTACCATTAATTCTTTCTGGTAGGTGTGCAGTCACTTATGCACTGTTGACTTTATTCCTTTCAGAAATGTATCCAACTCTATGTCCAGTAATAAGACAATCGCAGAAATACTTCACCTTTAGCCTCATACCAAAGAAGTGTGATTAGAACCCATTGTGATGCTTTAGTTTTCCTGCAGATGCAGCGTTTTCTTCTGTGATTGCTTTATATACATGAAGAGAGTTATCCACATTAGTGACTCTAGTCTTCATCTTTTATATATATATATACATTTATGCACAACTTTTACTTCTGTTAATAGAAGGAATTCTCATATACTGATGAACTTGTATTACTTCTGTTCTTTTTTCTCTTGGAAAAAAAAAATATCACAACGCTTCATTGCTTCTATTTTGTATTATATTAAAAGGTCACTTCCATGGTATTGAACTGTTTTCCTTTTTACCCTTGCATGTTAACATTGTTTATTGATATTCATACAATAATAAATTGCTTCTTGAGAGGAACCTTTTATTGATAGCTTAGGGTTACTGTCTTACATGCATGATACAAGTGATATCCATTATATATATGATTTTAATACTGTCTGTCTATAATAAGAATACCTTTGACAGAAAGTCTACTGATGTCTGTTGCTGTAGAAATGAACCTTAACCCGTTTTCTGTATTTCCATCCCTGTGCACTTAATGATGAATTGGTGGTATAAATTTTCTTTAATTTTGCTTTAAGTAAAATATTTGTTATAACATTTTGTCTTTCCTGCAGCCAACATTCATCAAAAGCAAAATAACAATATTTTCATCTGACTCACTCCTACTTAAAATGTATAAGGCTGTTACTAAAGCTGCCGCCTTCAGTTAGAAATACTGGCACGAGTAGCATTCATGATAGACAGGCAGTTCTGTTAGTTGACTTGATATTTTTTCTGTAATTTTTTTATTTCTATGACATCCACATATAAATTTTGCATATTTTTATGAAAAAGGTGTTAGACGATTAAAAGTTTTGGTGTGAAATAAGTCATTTTTTAAACTACTTGGTATCGTTAGACTATTTGGTGTCATTTATGAACAGGAACAGGCTTATGTTCCATCATACAAGAGATACACTGATGTGATCTTTATAAAACGCTTTGTAACTTTTAAATAAAAATGTTTTAATAAATATGTTTAGATAATAAAATGCCAGGTTTGTATTGATGTAAAACAGGTTTGTACCGAAGTAAAACAGAGGAATTATTATTTTTTTTTAATAGGACGTTATGGCAAACACTGTGAAAAGAAGTGTCAGAAATCTTGCCCAACAGGTTTCTGCCATCCTCTTCTTGGATTCTGCATCTGCCCACCTGGACGAACAGGCAGGAAATGCTCTCAACATTGCTCTCCTTTCAGCTATGGGCCGAACTGCCAGTATAAATGCCGCTGCATGTGGAATAATTCTAAAGCCTGTGATACTCAGGTGAAGTTGACTTTGGATGGCTAGAATATCTGTAAGCACTATTAATGTAACCCTGCTTAAAAGTGCAGAAACTTTGTTAACACATTTCAAGTGATGCGTTGCTAAACAGGATACTAGATCTTGAAATTCTTAGTGTGTTAATTCTGTATATCTTAGTATTTGAGAAAGAAATATTATGCTTCTTCAAGAGAGTACTTCTAGTCTTTTAACATATCAGTTTATCTTTCAAAACAGCAGAGTGTGTTTTAATGCTTTAAATAAACTTTTGGGTCTGTATTTTCCTCTCTCATTTATGATTATAAGAATTTAAACTAAACATTAGGATTAAAATGAATTTTATTTTCTCTAAAGGTATCTAGTGTTAAAACGTAATAGTTCAGTAATGTTTATGGATAATAAATTATTCTCAGTAATGTTTGAATAATATGTTGCAAGACTTAAGATGGATGTTATGTATAACTAGCGGGCAAGCCCACCAGATGAGTGGGCTGAAGCCCGCTTTTCATTGTTCCTGTGTATAAGAGTTCCCATTGTAATTTCGCCGGTATTCGAACGTTGGACTGAACTACAACTCCTCAGCGGTTTATTATTCACGTATGCATCCAGAAGATACAGCATACATGATACACATGCAGAAAATCACGAAAACACCCATGCAGCTAGCCCGTTTGCCGTTATTCGAAAGTTGGACCGAACTATCAGTGTTCAGCAGTTTTGCACGGGCTATGCCTGCTTTATTCACATATGCAATCAGGAGATACTGCACACACGATACACATGCGGATAATCACAAAAACATCCATGAAGCCACTCCGTTCACCGGGATTCAAAAGTTGCAGCGAACTACCAGTGTACATCAATTTTACCTGGGATGCGCCCGCTTTGTTAATGTATGCATGCACAAGATACTGCATACACATTACACATGCAGAAAATCACGAAAACACACATGCAGCCAGCACTTTTGCCAGTATCTTAAAGTTGCACAGAACTACCAGTGTTCAACAGTTCTTCGCGGGCTGCGCCCGCTTTATTCACGTATGCATCCAGAAGATACTGCATACATGATACACATGCATAAAATCACAAAAACACCCATGGAGCCACCCTGTACGCCGGGATTAGAAAGTTGGACCGAACCACCAGTGTTCAGCGGTTTTGCCCAGACTGCACCCGCTTTATACACGTATGCATCCAGAATTACTATAATGGCTGCGAACTAATTTGCAATATCATTTAAATTCAAAGAGCATATGTAAATTAAATGCACTAAAACCATGAAAAAATATATTATTTCAAATAATAATTACATATTTAAAAAAAATAATAAGATATTTACATATGCTCTTTGAATTTAAATGATATTGTCAATTAGTTCGCAGCAATAATAATTATTTTTTTTTTCAATTAAAATTTAATTTAATACTAGCTTTTTCTCTCCATATTGTGTTGTGAAAATATGGAATTCTAACACTTTATATTATTGCTAAATCATACGAGGGTTGCTATATATTTTTCTGGCATAATAATGAAAAAACAAATATTTATAATCGAAATTGCTTTTATTGGTTTTCAAAATATTCTCCATGAAGATAAATACACTTTTGCTTGCATTTCAACCACTTCTTTTACTCCGATTGAGGTAACTCCAAAACCTGTGTTTTGAATGCATCAATTGCTTCTTTGGGTGTCACAGATTGCTGACCATATAATTTATTTAGATCTGTGGGAATAATAAAAAAAAAAAAAATTGTCATTGGGTGCCAAATCAGGGCTGTATGGCGGAGGATCATCAATTTGATGTTTTGGCCTGTCAAAAATTCCATTCTTTGAGAGGTTGCATTGTCGTGATGAAGAATTATTCGCCTCTTCTGCTCATTTTAAATTTCACCAATGACTTCTGGCAAATAAATGGTTATGTGCATTCAGAATTGACCATTTTGCGTTGCTGTAACGCCACTGTCGCCATGTGACCACAATCGTCGACCACAAATGAATTTGTTATACCAATTTTTTTTTTACAGTGCTGTAGAGTGTTGCTTTATCTCTGTATAAAGACTGAAGTTCATTGAAGCACTCTTGTTTTCATTATCCACGTCAGAAGTTATGAAAACTAATCACACGAAAATTTTCACAAGTCAATTCCATTTTTTGCCCAAGATGAATATTTCAATTTACTGTAAACAACACAAATCATGCTTAAATGGCAAAATGTTCTGCAGTCCTCTAGTTACACTTACTGTTGCCAAGGCCAAAAATATAAATAGCAACCTTCATAAAAGAAAGAAAAAATTCTCTGCCTTTACTATAGAGTTTTCATGTGCAGTATGATTATTTTAGAATTTTTGACTTGCCTTTGATGAATATCCAGTTTCCATAATCAGAAGATAATGATGTAAAATTATTTGCACTTTCTTTAAGTGGTAAATTCTAAAATTATAACTAAAATTTTTCTTTAAATTCATTTAATTGAAGGGTAGTGATCAACAGAAACAATGAATGAAAATAAAATGCAGTTCTTTAGATTCATTATACAATGTGTGTGCAGGTTGGGAAAAGTTAAAAGGGTAGATAATTTAATTGACACTTTTAGATAAATTAATTGATTATTGCTGTTACATTAATTATTTTAATCAGACTAATCAAAAATAAGTAAATACATAAGAATTGAGCAAGAATAGCTAAATTTTGAAAGCTGATATTAATAAAATTAAAATTTAATTTCCTTCCCATTAAGAATAGTCCCTTTCTATATCGCTGTCCCAATGCTGCTAATCAAAATGTGATTTGAATGTTTTTTGAAAGTTTTTTTCTTTTTTATTTGAAATGTGTTCCGAGCAGCCTTTGCAATTTGGCCTGGTTATGCCCAGAAGAATCTATATGACAGCTTAAAAAAAAAAAAAAAAAAAAAAAAAAAAAAAAAAAAAAACACACTGCTAAGCTACATGCTTAGTGATTTAAGGCTCATGAAAGCTGGTAGTTCATTATTAGATTCATTACGTTATTATTAGGTTCAGTTCATAGCAGGCTGATACTAGGCATTTTACTGCCCAATGCAGTCTTTGTTACTCTTAAACTCTGCTGCTTGTTGCTCTCCTAAATTCTGAAAATTCTGCCACCCCTAAATTTTACTGCCCAGTGCCTCTCCTAAATTCTAAAAATTTCACTACTCAGTGCTTCCCAAAAATTCTAGAAAATGTGTTGTTTATTCCATCTGCATTGACCGGGTTTCAGTTCTAATCTTTGATGTATTAAGAGCTTTTGACACCTTTCTGTTATCAGGACAGAATTCAGAAATATATGGGTGTATGTGTACATGTATACATGCCTCCTCAGGGTCTCACTCTTCTGAGTACGGATATAATACAATCCCGAGGCACCCTAACCCTTCAGGGGATCATCTTCTTGGTGAGACGGATGTCACGATTCTGGAGTCCCAGTGATCTATCTTCTTTTCTGTCTCCTCTCCACTGACCTGATACTTTTTTCCTTCCATTCTCCCTTGTGCTTTTCCTCTTCAGGGGTTGGGGCTCGTCATGAGAAACTGAAACAGCCCTTGTCTCTAGTTTTCAAATGGCGAGGAAACTGCCCACGTGTTTGCCGTGCATGAGACCCGTGTTGCTGGAAAGGAGGGTCCTGGTAGTTGAGGGGCGAGGTACTGCCCCCAACACACTGCTTTGGCCTCTGCTTCAGCTAAATGGGAGGCACCTTAGTCGTCCTCATGGGTGTCAATCAGCTGGTCACTAGTCCTTGTGCCAGTGGCTTGGGGATAAGCTCTCGGGAGTTACCTGCTTTCGGGAAAGCCGACTGTAGGGCTTTAGTTTGCATATAGGTCTGGCTAGCCCTAACACAGGATTCTGTTTATCCGTGGTGAGCGGGGCTGTAGGACCCAAATCTTTTCTCTTTCTACCAAATATAGCTAATTCTAAGATATGTTTAATGAAAGTCTTTGAAGTCACTCCCGTCACTCAAAGCACCATTTCTGAAATATCTACTGCTAAAAAGGTGCATACCGAATCAATGCAAGTAATCCTAATGATTATCCCTGCTTTCTTGTTATCTGTAGCCTGTCTGGCGAACTGCATAAGAAGTCTCCTTTCATAATAAATAAATACATTCCTTTCTTGTATTTGTGAACTGAGAAATATGAAGCGTCTCTGCTCTGAAGACTTGCTTATTGATACAGCTTCAGCGACTCAGTCGGCATCTTAACTTCAAATAACTAAACTTGGACAAGCGAATGTCACTGTAACAGCATGTAAGATGCTGAATTATTGTCGTGGTTAATCTCGGAATTCGACCTTCTGTATGCTTCTGGAGAAGATATCACATTCAAGCTGTCTGACCAAAATGTCTGCAGTGTTAGGCACATCAAGATGCGTAAGGAAGGTAAGTTGATTGATACAAAACATGTGATCCTGACCTAGCAAATTGAAATCTAAAAGCACGACCATCTTGTGTGCCTTCTGTTTCTTTAAGAGTTCGTTCTCTGATTGAGGAACTCTCTCTGTCTGGTATCTTTCCAAAAGCAGTACAGCATTTCCAAATTCCACCTTGGGAAAATACAGAAATCCATCCTCTTGACGTTTTCCATGGCCACGTAAAAACAAACACTAACAAGACTCTTTACAGACAACTTTCTGCTGAGCACAGGCGTAAATATAGCAGTTGTGTTCCCATATATACAGATGGATCCAAGTCAACTGATCATGTTGGGATGGCATTTGTAATTGAAGACTACATGGAACAGGGTTCGTACGGCCCTTAAGAGTCCTTAAAAGTCCTTAGATTTTTTGGAATCGATTTTTGGTCTTTAAAAGTCCTTAATTTTGGCCAAAATCAGCAGATGGTCCTTAATTTTAATCATCTGAAATTTCTGTCTGTTTTCATGATTTTGAGTGTGAATTAGCATTTTAAAGGAATATTTTTGGCAATTCGCTGACATATATGGTTATCTTTTGAATGGGTTCACGGGTTATAATTTGTTTCTATTTCTAATA